GAATGATTACAAGTAGAGAACCAGGGGAAGTATGTCGACGTGATCTACATCGATTTCAGCAAAGTGTTCGATAAGGTGAACCATGAAGTCTTCCACCTCAAGCTGAGTGTGTGGCGTTTGTGGATCTCTGCACCAGTGCATCCAGGACTTACTCGTTAGACGAAAGTGGGGGGTACAAGTCCATAGCCAACTGACCGATCGGTATCCATCGACCAGTAACGTAGCACAAGATACGGTGCTGGGGCTTACATTGTTCCTGATTTACAACAACGATTTATCTAAGCTTCTTCGGTCACCGTGTAACCTATTTACAGACCATCTGAAGATGTGGAAAGCTATAAGCACATCCGAAGACTGCAGCTTACTTCAATAAGACGTCAACCTCCTTTCTATGTGGTCTGCAGAAGTCAGCTTTCCGGTCAAGCCATCCAAGTCAGTATTCATGAGCCTGGGGAAGGGTAGTTACGGCTGAACCTACTCTCGGTAGTCAATTGTTACATTTCACACTTTTCCTGAAGGTCCTAGGAATACTAACGTTGCGATTTGAAGTCCGTTAACAACAAGAACAGGCTAGATCGCCGTGGACTACGCATGCTCTGGACGCTCGAACAGTTACTGCATCTGGTCTGAAAAGGATGCCACTCGCTTCTTCTCCGTCATCAGATCAAAGCCAGGGTAGGACACGCCCACCTATTGTCCGATCACTCGCGGCGACGTGCAGAAGACTGGACGGGTACAAAACGTCGCTACCAGGCCCATCTCCAGTTTGCGAGACTTACCATACGAGGACAGGTGCGAGACACTGGGAGCGTATACCTTGGAATATCGTCCGTTGTGAGTCGGCCTCAATATGACTGACCGAAGTCTACATGTAGGTGACTTCCCCACGCTGAAGCCACCGCTCCACCCGCGAAGGCCTTGCAGCACACGCGTAAGCCAGTACAAGCATGTGGTTCCAGAAATGAAGCGAGTTCTTCGTCCCCTGTTCTTGGAACGGCGAGTGGTAGATATCTGGCATGGTTTGACGGAACATATAGTAGAATCGAACTCAGTACAGCGGTTTAAACGATCGTTGGATGTGCACTTTTCAAATGTTAGATTCCCAGAACGAGTACCCATCCACATCTCACATTGTTGAGTCCTAGTCTACTGCAAGTTAAACGATTTTTAGTGATATCACGTGAGAACAAGAAAAACAATTAGAGTACTGACAAGCCACAGTTTGCTTTTTGGACATCTTTGATCAGATTTCGATGGAGTTGCATAGCTTCAAATCTATAGTTGCTCCCACAATACAGTATTCAGAACAACTTCCCATGGTACCAGATGACTGGTTCGGGTAAATCTCTTTCCAGCGAATGGTTCGGCGGCAGTGCTCCAGGATGCAGTGAGTTTCCGTCTGGCAGGCGTTTACGATATAAAAGCCGTGTCAGTTTAACAATAATACGACGTGCTGGATGTGTCTTGTCACTAAGTAAAATCACTGCTCTTGCTTTCCTAAACGATCTTATCCAATCCACGGAATATAATTCACCTGTCCTTAAGCTTTTCTTCGGTCCGTTCGCATTCTGACGATCCGATACAACACAATCACAAATAGAGAAACACATTACAAACACAAACAATAACCCTACATACGCATGAGCCTATACGATGATGAACACATGTTTATCGAATGATCGATCTTACGGATTTCGGGCCAACTATGTGAAAGATGGTCGATCGCTTCAAGAGGCGGACTGAAGGAGAGCACACAATCGATGTAGATGGACATGAACGTTGACCGAGAATGCAATAGCACTTGTTGTGTTACATATTGGTGAGTGGTTCTAATTGACGCGAGGTATAAAATGAGTTTGTGTCCAATGAACAATAGATTTCTGGTCGAGGCCCAGACTTTGGTTTTTGATCCACGGAGGACCATATGACATGGTGTTCGAGCATAGAGCACGTGAAATGTTCACAGGTTTCATGGGAACACCTGTTCGCTTAAGTATTTCGAACAGAATACATCGGTCGACTGAGTCAAACGAACACTTAAAATAGAGAAACATTGCCATTATCCACCTGCGGTGCGTGTGGTGCTGCTCCAGCACCTGCCCCAGAGTGAATATGTGGTCTATACAGTCACGTCCTGGGCGGAAGCCTGCCTGCTCTTCCTTAATGCGAGATTCCCGTTCCACGGAGGTGACAAACGAGAATGGAGGTCAATGATTTTGTCACCACCGGCGTCAGCCTAATACCCCCGTGGTTAGCATAGTCAGCGCGACCGCCTTTCTTGTATATCGCCACTATAACTGACTCACCCCAGTTAGTTGGGATGGCCCCAACCTACCAAACCTGCTGGAACAAGGTCAGCCATTTGCAGATGACCTCACAATCACCCTTAAATAGTGCGGGTGCGAAGGAATCCGGCCCACAACACGAAAACGATCAAGGGCTGCGATCGCGTTCTGCACCTCAGCCTCCGATGGAGTCACTAAACTAACTGGCCATGGTTCAGTCTGCAACATCTGAGTAGGAAGAGGTCCAGAAGCAGGGGGCCAACTGAACTGCTCTCGAAAGTGCTCCGCTCAAAGAGCCGTACGGTGTTGCTTATTGTGAATAAGTGTACTCGCGCCGTCTCTGATTGTCTCACTAACGTCTTGTTTTCTGGGACCAGTGGTGTAGATCAGCTGGAAGAGCTTGCGAAAATGGCGTACTGCTTCTGCTTCCTCCATTTCTTCAGCCCGACTGGTCCACCAGACTTCCTTGTCAGCAGGAAGGCTCCACTTTAGTTCGCGCCTAATAGTCCGTCTGGCCACATTGTTCTCAGAGCCAGGCGAGAGTTTTCTTCTGGATTCCAAGGTTCACCGATCTTTCGGATATCCAGTGACCGGTGCTGTGACGATTGATAGTACAGGAAGCAGAGACTCGTGCATACCGCATGCCGGCCGAGATCCTATTCCATTGTAGCTCAGTGTCATCAGGACAAGAGAGCTGGTGCTCCGCACACAGCTGTAATAGACGCCGTTGTCCTTATGGTCAGTTAAATCCATACTCACCACATAGCAAAGCGTATGAAGAGTTCAGACGACCTACTTGCGCGTTCATTTCCCCTGCAAGAACCATCATATCAGAACTGGTAACACTGTGTAGCGGTGTGTTCAGTTCGCATTAGAAAGCGTCCTTCGCAGTATAAGAGTTGCAATCGATAGAGGCATAAGCGAAAACCACAAACAGCGTTTAGTGCTACTCCGTGAACCAACCTTAGTTGATGTCGTCAAACGGACTGCATATAAACGGTTGCTCACGGGAATCCAACTAAACAACGATGACTCGGCCTTGGAGTCGAGAACAATACCCACTCTAGCTTAACCAGTGGTTGCCGCATCAGCGTCTCCAGATGTGTGCAACCAATAGAGAGAGGACAAACCGGGTGTAGTTAATTCAACAACCCCATGAGCGCCATTGATCCTAGTTTCGGACACACAACAGGTGTCAATACCTAGCGTGTTTAACATGCGTGCGAGTGCAGCCCATCGATCTATTTGTCTTAGAGTGCGAACGTTGAACGCTGCCAGGAAAACGGGACAGTGTAGCCTTATAAGCTGTTGGCGATTAGTGTCCGGTGGGTGGTGCGGGAACATAGCTGCAGATGGTATGACTCCAGTGACAGTGTGTTTGCTGTCAATTAATCTTGGAACTATATGAGGAAAACTAGGAATAAACATAGAGGGAAGTAAGAGAAACGGTTTGAAAGAAGGGAGGCGCCAGCAATAGCATGCTTTCGATTATCTGCCCTGTTGTATGCAGCAGAAAAAGCGACCCTTGATAATTTGCACGACAATCGACGTAGGACATGAGAGAAATTTGATGAAGAAGCCATGGTTGTATGCGGGTTGATAGTGCCAGGACGCCGCTACCTAGACAGGAGGACGATTAGGGTCATCAACCAAAGCCTTTGGCTCAAAAGTCTGTCCGCAAGGCGGCGGACGTGGCAACGATTCGGTTTTAAAGCAATGGACGCCATCGCATTTCAATCCTCCAACCTGGAGAATCAGGACTGAGTTCGTCTGACCTTTAACCATTTACCAACCTGGTAGAAGTAGCCCTTAAGGGGCCCAAGGGCCTCACCCAGTATATCTCAATGGGTTGACGAGGTACGTAAACCGCCACACCACATTAAGGTCCAGTCTCGTTGTGACGGGCGCCACAGATATCTTAACTTGGCAAGCTGGTGGTAGATCGGGTTGGCTGAAAGTTATTCTGACCGTGTAACCAAGCCATCTGTGTTGTAACCGTATACTTTTAGTTTGTCCACTAGCTTTGGCATAGTTCTGTCCTCATCAGTTCATGATCTCACCTAGCAACCAATGAACACGGCTCTAAGACTTAGCTGAGGTTGATCATTACCTGATAAATAAATCAATTCAAAACACAACAAGAGGCTATTCATACTTTATTATATCAAAACCCTACTCATGAGTACATCAAAATATATCCGCTCCGACAGTTGCTAAATGTTATGTCGTACATCGCTACTGTTAGTGAACATTGTTTACGAGGCTAACTCTGTCCTCTACAACGTTCGTAACTTGCAAAGCAGTGGAGGATAAGACGCGCTATATCGTAGTTAGCTTGTAAATCATGACGGTTCGAAGCTGTCCCCGTGGCCTAGTGGAATAAGTTGCTGTGTGACGGTGCAAGCTGCTAGTGGTCACAGGTTCGAATCCTGGTAGATCCGATGGATGCGCATTATTGATGATGCCCAACAGGCTGAAACTACAGCCTAACGCTCTTCCGGACATGTGAACGACTATCTGACATGGAACTGGCTGCGAGGAATGCATAAAAAAGTAAGTATATTAAAAATCCCTTACTTTTTATTACATCATACGTTATTCACAAACGAGTAGAAACAACCCAGTCACAGAAGAATATGCGTTTAAGGAAAAGTCCAAAGTGGAATAAGGGGGACCCAGTGCAGAAGTTCAGCTCATAAACTGAAATCAACTCACCCTATCAACTGACGCTGATCGTCGTTGGATATGGTTAGCCCAGTCAATAGTTCACGGATTAGAACACAGTACCGGTCGTACTGTGGGGCCTGAAGCTGCGCAACATAACACGATTGTAGATATAATGGTCACTTTGGCTTCCGGGATATCCCGTTGAATCGCATAAGCAACGTTATAGACAACTTTTAACAACTCTGACATTAATGAGCAGTTTTGGGGGGAGAAAGGCTCGTTCTGAAACGATGATAAAAGATTACCAAAAAGGCAGAAAGCATCGCTATTCTCTGCTAACTCTCGTCTAAAAACGTACGCACTGAATATGGCTTAAATGGGTTACCTGATCGATGACTCCAGGCCGGAAAGCAGAAAGAACAACTTGAGATCAAGTAACAAAACATCGCCTCGTGATCTACTGGATATATGCGCCTTCAGTCTCTCTAACAAGCGTTCTACAATACCGAATGATCTGAAACGCCGTAAAGAAAAGGGATGGGTCCGTACCTTAGTGTTTTCAACACGACGGGGCGTTTGAAGACAAGATTGGACAGTGCTTTCAATGACTCAATAGTGTGCACATCCTCTGCAGAACCATAGGAGACGAAAGCGCACGTAAACAAGGGTTTCAAGAAATCGTCGGTAGAGAGTTGGTCTAGACATTGATCGTCTCGTGTGAGAATGCGTACACAACGGAGGGAGTCGAGCAGATCATTTTTGGAATCCTCTTGTAAAACTTGAGCACAGTGTGACAACAGAAGCTGAACAGTTTTTACGGAAGAAACCAAACTTGTACCTTTTTAAGCGTTTCACTGACAGAGTCCAGTGAGAAATTTGTATCATTCTGATAAAAGAGCGCAATACAAAGCAAAGATTGAAAACGTACAGATTGAATAAATCTTCTCAATGTATCACCAGAGACCCCAGCCATGTCTGAAGCATACAGAGGGACAAGAATCGGAAAGTAATGGCAAGAAAAAAAAGCGTGTGATATAAGAGCAAAAAGTAGTGGCCTAGGTCGTTCAATTGGTGGTCGAAGTATTGCTGAGCTCGGCAGTTTTTCTGCAAACGCTTTGTCACCAATAGTGGTAAGATTATCAGTGCAATAGTACGTATCGGAGCGGGACGGCGCGAGGCGTGGCGTTAATAAGTGAGAGTAGTCGATCGTTTCAATGAATGAGCCGTCACTCTGAATTCGAGTTGTTAGACGAGCACATGACCACCGAAGCTGATTCCCCTGATTCGTACCGCGTGACGTTGGCACGAGCACCACTGCGGTTGACCCCGCAGTCCGATATGCATATCCGAGATTCCGTTCCGTCAGCTTAAGTTGGAATATTTTCCAGCCATAATGCCGCGTATATAGCATTTAGCTCAACGTGTCGGATGACTGAATTGGCTGCAGAATGCCCCAGTTCCGGGGTTTCTCCATCTTGTTTCTAATTTCTACGTGCTATGGTCCTTACGTTCTCTAAGTCGAAGTGATGGCTTTCCTGATGTTCATGAATGGGAACTAAGGAATGTGGGTCGTGTCTCCTTATGGCCATCTTGTGTTCGGGGATCCGTGTTGACAGTTGCCATCTAGTTTGTCCGACGTAGTGTTTGTCACACTCTTTGCAGTTTAGTTCGTAGATAGTATCGTTCTAACTGCCTTGTTGGACTTTGTCTTTCGGTCTTGAAAAGAATCCTCTCAAAAGAGACAAAGGCAAATGAGAGTCAGAACGATGCCATTTACAAGGTGAATTGCAAAGGATGTGAGAAACACTACCTCGGACAAACTGGACGCCAACTGTCAATACGGATCACCGAACAAAATATAGCCATAAAGATACACGACCCACATTCCTTGGCTTCCATTCATGAAGATCAAGAAAGGCATCACTGAGACTTAGGGAACGTAAGGATCACAGCATGTGGATAGTGGAAACAAGATAGAGAATTCTTGGAACCGCGGCATTCTGCAGCCATTTCAATCAACTCACACGTCGTACTAGATACTGTATACTCGGCACTATAATGAAACATTACCAACTTAATCAACTTGACGTGACGGAACGGAACGGAATGCCGGATACGCACGTTGGACGGTACGCGTGCCAATGTCACGAGGTACGAATCAGAGGAATCAATTTCAGTAGTCATGTGCTCGTTAAACAATTCGAGTTCAGAGTGACGGCTTGTCCACCCAAACGATCGATCACTCTCACTTATTAACGCCCGGCGTCGCGCCGTTCCGCTTTGAGACACACTTTTGCACTGATGATGTTACCACTAGTGGTGACGAAACGTTTGTAGAAAAACTGCCGAGCTCAGCGAACACTTCGACCATCGAAAACAGCATTAGCAGCACGCCGGCACACAGTAGCGACGAAACACTGCCGCGTGACCACCAATAATCGTACGTGGGCTAAGGATATTGGAAGGGTCGCCCGGTCTCTACGCAGGCTCGAACCCGCGCCATCAGATGAAAATGTAGACTGGTGATCCTTAAGGTTATGGGCCAGTGTAATGACTGATGAACTAAGGTTAGTACATTTCAGGAGTTAACTGGTTAGCCATAACTCCAACGTTGAGACGCTATAGATCTAGCCATCATTACAAAAAAATTAACGGAGTGAAGGATGAAAAACTTGGGCAATGGAGAGTATAACCTGCGAATGCAGAAGTAGCAGAGGCTTGTGGCTGTTGTACTGGCAGCAACTGTTATGTAACTGATGATAATAGCTCGCACGATGGAAACTAAAAAATTGACCTCGAATATGCGACATCTCGGGTGTAAGAAGTGAATTTCGTCATCATCCACAACAGCAGTAAATCAGCCATTTGAACTGATGCTTCACTGTCATACAACCATGATGACCTATGAAAAAAAGAATAATAAGAGGAAGAGAAGAGGGGCTTAATTGAAAACCTTAAGGCGCCTACACATTGTGTAGACAACACACCGTCACACACAGCTGGCTATCGTGCAAAGATAAGTTGGCATCGGCGAGACAGCTTCCTTGCGGCCTTTACTGCCCCACGTCATAATCAGCCATTACCCCGCAGTGTACTTCGTAGTTTTAAAGGTCTGTATACAGGAGTCCAGTAGGGGCCATCCTGCTGCATGACATTCAGAAATGATCTCTTCGGTCTAACAGTATAACGCATCTTTAAGTCAGTTACTGTCACCGTCTAAGGAGTACTGCTTGCGCCGAATGGCCACCCCGCGTCTGCAAAGATGAGTTGCGCAACTGAGACCTAGGCGACATTAATTCCACTACTTCATAGACTAACAACCGACGCTGCAAACCGCGTTCATTTATGCACATGCAAAAGGTCCGTCATCGGTAGATGGGACAACGTAAGGCTAGAGAAGGAGTGATCATTAACTTGGCGACCAGAAAGGAACCCAGTAGCTACTGAACTGTGTTGCCGGATCGTTCCGCCATCCAGAGTGAGACCTACATGGCCCATACATCTTGGTAGAGAAAGTACAAGAAAGTGTATAAAATATACGTCAGGTCTATTAGTTGATCAACCACAGCTCATCCACTGAACTGCAGCTGATCCGGGCGTTGTAAGTTATGCAAGTTAATAATGACAACCATTGTGTTCTTGGTGTCCGTCGATTAACCACAATGTCAACACACAGGTGAGAATACAAACAAATGCTGGTGGAAGATAACTCCGGGCAGAAAAATTTGGAGAGATTGAACGTAATGCAGTCGAAATGAAGAGCGTCAGTCTATGACAGGATCAGTGGGGAATTGAAGTAGGAAAAATAATAGTTATATTTTATGAACATCAGAGACAACAAAGGGGATGAATTTGTCCGGAGACAGCTTCTCTAACAACAATAATAGATAAAAGTATAAGAAATATAAAAAGTGTAGCAGTCTGGAGATTCCCCGGTTTGCTTGTGTAAAATTCTAACCAAAATTCTATAATTGTACACTTAGGCAACCGGTGTGGTTTGTTGAACTGATTGCTGAGTTCGAATGCTTTACTTGCTCATCGCCATTTTTGCTTGGCGCTCGCTTCGGTTGCAACGCGCGACTGCTCTGTGTGCTGTGCTTGATCTGTTCCCCTAGCTAGAGCGTCCACGGTGTCGTTCATTTATAGCTAGCTAACAGGGAATCTTTTGCTGAACCAATAAAAGTTTCCCTGCAAATTGATCCGTCTTCTGGAATCGCTCTCTGGGCTCCCGGAATAGGCAACCCTCTAAATTGGTGACCCCGAGATCCGGATCAAC